TCGTCACTTGGACTGAATCTCCCGCCGGCAATGAATGGCAGCTTCCTACTTCTGTCCTGCCAGGAAGATGGAAGTCGCTTCGTGATCAGTTCCCTTGACCCACGTTCCAGTATTACATCCCACAGTCTTACCAAAACTTACCCTCTGCTCCATGGGGTCACAGAGTCGGACACGACTGAGCGACTGAACTGAACCCTCTGCTCCACCCCCGCCATGAGACTTTTAAAATCCCACTTATCATCTCCAAGTATACAACACGCCTATACTCCTTTGCCTCCCACCCTCAGGCAATTTCTATTTCAATACCAAGTGATGCCAAGCTGGGCTGGTCAGACTCCTAGAGCCACGGGCAGAAGGTACCTGGGCTGCCCTGCTGGCCCAGTGGTGAAGAACCTGCCTGCAGCGCAGAAGACGCGGGTTTGTGCCCTGTGTCAGGAAGACCCCTGGGGGAGGAAAAGGCAACCCGCTCGTCTCCTAGCCTGGAGAATCCCATGGACAGAGAAGCCTGGTGGGCTACAGTCCCTGGGGTCGCAGTCAGACAGGACTGAGCGACTGAACAAGGTAGCTAGTCCAGTTATCTTTTTGAACTCGAGGTAGAGAGGGAGAGAACCTGTCCACGGCTACAGGCCAGGCCTGAGGTCTCAGCAGTGGGCTCGGTCCCCGCGGGGGTACCTCCACCCTGCAGACAGGGGCTGGCGGCGCAGAGGCAGAGGCTCCCAGCGCGCCTCTGACCAGAGCGGGGCCTTCCTTCTCAGCTCTCGGGGGCGAGGCAGCCGGCGGAAGGCCCTTCTGCAAACACAGGGGGCAGCCGGGGGACGCCGTCTCCAGACCGGGGTGGGGGCCAGAGTGGCGAGGGCCAGGCGTCCACCCCCAGGTTCTGATGGGGAGCACCACCGCCCTGCCCCTCTCCCAGCCGCCACCCGGACTCCGCCGCTCCTCAGCTTTCCTGCCCAGGACCTGGGCAGAAGCAGCTGCTTATGGAACTGTAAATTCCCAGCTAATATGTAAACCCCCATCTAATGTCTAAGTGTACTTCTTCACACAATTTCCAAACAGACTTGAATTAACCTTGAGGTTAAAGAGAAATCAATCTTTTCATGGTGTGAATTTTCCACAGAACGCCAACAGGGATACATTGAAATGCCAGGATACTGTGTTAAAATGTCAGCTATTAACACCTGAACTGTGTTTTTTTGTTAGTATTTGGCCACTCCGGGCTTCATTTCATTGCAGCATGTGGGGTCTAGTTCTCCGACCAGGGCTTGAACAGAGCTCCATGCCCTGAAGGGACAGCCTCAGCCACTGAACCACAGGGCTAAGCCCCCAGACCTGAGCTTTCAAAACAGGGTAAGGCCAGAGTGGGGTGTCTCTGATGGCTCTGGGCCCTCCGCTACCGTACTAGGGCCCAGGCAGAATCACACCTGTGGGCAGGTACAGCTTGTTTACTGAGCAAACGGAACGGACGGCAGCGCGGGCTAAAAACCTCCAGAGTTCACAGTTAGAGATGAAAGGCTGCAGAAATGTTTATTGAATACAGTGCCAGGTTTATAAATAAAACTTATTTACAATTTCCATAGAGTTGGTCCCCCATCAGAGAGGTGGTTAAATCCCCAAACAGTTTATCTCAAAAAGATTTACAGAAACATTCAAGCACATCTCCTTCGCAAATCGCCATGATGCAGGGTGACTTCCGTAACAAGAGAACTACCACCATCTTGGCTACAGACGTGTTTAACAAACATCATCATAAATTTGGAGAAAGAACACACTCCACCGCCACTACCTTCTTCCTCAGAGGGATACAGACAGCAGAGAACTTCTGTCTCCTGCAGAACAACTTCAAGGGATCAGTAAGAGCTAAGAGTAACCGCCAGCTGAAGGATAGAGTAAGACACATTCGTGGAAATCTAGTCACTGCCCAAAGGATAGGTGTATTCAGGATATACAGTAATTACTTCAAATGTTGAAAGTGACTGAACCAGGAGCAGACTTGACCAAATTTACATTCTTTGTTCAGGAGGAAGTTCCCAGGACTGCTGAGGGGCCGCTAGTCACACTGCTTCTCCAACGGCCCAAGGCGCGCCAGGCCGACTGGACAGCCCTGCGTGACGACGTGGTCACGAGTACAGTCAGACATGCGTTTATAAAGAGGATATAAAAATATGTACAGTAGCTAGTTTTCAGTGTGTTTGAAAGTTGCCGAAAGTCACCAATTTAAAGTGTGCAAAAAATTCGTTTGTCAAAAAACCAGAGGAAAAAAAAGCCTTCCTTGGCAGCAGTGCATCAGAAGCCCATCTGAAACATCCAGACACGGCTGCTCGACACCTACCCCGAACAGATGGAGAACGCAACCATGAGCGTGTGCGCCAAGGGCTCAGCCGTTTTCTATGGCAAGTCTCAGGCTCAAGCGGATGCCAGTTAAACTAGTCACTCTATATGTATATAAATATATGTATATGTATTTATAGAGCAGTTAGAAGTGGGGCCAGAGTTTACGGGAAGTCTGGCCGAGTTTCAGAGTTGTGCCCCCCTCGCCCAGCTCACCTCCTCACAAACCCCCGTGGACTGCAGACACCTGACCCTTGGGGGCTGGTCGTCCCCTCCAAGGCCAGAAAGGCTCCAGTGGACTAAGCTTCCCCTTGAGGCCAAACTGGACTCAGCAACCCCTGGGGGTACGTTTCTGGTTCCTCAACAGGATCCTGGCCACTTAAGAATCTGGCTACAAGGGTGGTCTTTTAGGAAAGGCTACGGGACCAACATGGAGTCCACTCAGCTTCTAGAAAAAAGACATGGTGAAAGGGTTAAGATAGAAGGCAAAGTTCCTGAAAAACAAGCCAAACTGTCCTTAACCCTTTTTAAAGCTACCAAGAAGTCACTGGCCATAGGCCTGGCAACGGGTCAACAGTCTGGCTACTTGACCTCCCAGCAAGAAATATCCAGGTTACCCACTTCCTCGAACCAGAAACCCCAGTCCTATGTCACCAGGAGAAAACCTCCACGGTACTGAGATGCTCCTTCCGGATCCAGGGAGTTGGCGAAGCCAAGCCTCGCCCGCCAAACCCTCTTCTGCCGACCACCCAGCCTGGAGACCAGCAGCCAAGCAGAGCGGCAGGCTCCTCCCCACGGCTCTGGCCCACCCCCGTGGCGGGGAAAACCAGGGAGCTGCAACATGCCAGAGAGGCGGGGAGCAGGAGACGGAGGAGCATAGGGTCTCCATAAACCGACCCCGAAGGCACCCGATAGGCGGCAGAGCGCGTCCCACCGCCTCGCTAGCAGACAAAGGAAGACTGCCCACACAGGAACACTCAAAACCCAATCTCCTAGTAAGATGCAACCAGTTAACACCCTGACAAATACACATTCAGCCTTCAAAAAGAGTTCTGCACTAAATCCAAGATGCTTTTTAGGGGACTTTTAGGCAGACCAATCCCATCGCCAAGATCAGTACCAGCATCTCTTTCGTTTTAGTTACAGTTTCGTAAAGAAATACAAAATTCCCTCTGGGCTGGAGTTTTACTTCCAAGCTGGGGGTCAGAATTGGTTCTACTGGGGGCAGGGGGCAGGGAAGAGCAAAGTCAAGTTAAAAAGTAGAAGTCTAAAGTTAAGTACAATCATAAATTAAAAATTGTGCATTAAAAGGTGACCAGTAGTGTCCGTTAGGCATGAAGAGACTGGCTTAGAAAAGTGACCACTGCTTCTACCACACACAGCAAGGATTCAATTACAGACGCACTAAGTCATCTCTTGCACAGATGGTCTCAAAGAGTCACATAAAACAGGTAATCAGCAGCACAACCGAGAAGAACCCCTAAATACATGCTTGAGAGAAAGTGGTTTTTGTTTTTTCCTTCAAGAGCTCTACTGCCTGAATAATCATTGTTACCATGATTCACTCCCCCCTCCCCCCAGCGAAAACACAAGCAGACCCACATGTCCGTAAACAAGATGGAGCCATCAGCATCTGCTTGGTTTTGGGCAAGGTCTTGGGCTCAGTGGTTGGTGCTGGGATGCATGTCTGTGTGGGTGGGGGGTACCCAATGCTGGGCTGTGGGCATTTTTAAAGGTACACTGGCCTCCCCTCCGACTGGCTCATCCCCGTTTAGGTCTGAGCTTTACAAAGCATTTAACACCACTTTAAGTTAATGGTCTTTTTATTGGAAAAAAAAAAAAAAAGACTAGCATTTACAACTTGGAATGGACGTAAATTGTAAATTTCTTGAACAGCAATGTTGATGGTTGTGCTGAAGTCCACAGCCACAGCCTACTCTGCCGGCTCCAAGTCATGGTTCAGAAGGTTTTAAAAACAGAGAGTCCAAAGATGCTCCCTTGGTAAAAGTTTCTTTTTAAAAATTTGTATGAATGGTGATAGCCTGACACCCATTCCGCTCTAGCACAATGCAGACAACGCCAGACACACACAGGCGTGCCACCAGGGTGTGTCACGGTCACCAGGGGACGATGAGGCCCATCCTGCGGCAGTGGGGCTACGCCCGGACAGTTATCCTACACAGCATCCTGAGGTGAACCAACCTTAAACACCTCTTCTCAGTAAACCAGCTACGACAATGTATGCTAACAAGTTGAACTAGAACCCCTTTGAGTAGGTTTTGAATGTTTTTTTCACTTTTTCATTTTTAATACAAATGCCTGACTGTGTTCAATTGTCAAGCTGCATGCATGAAAAACTGGCCAGCCCAGACAGTGTTATTAATCATGAGCAGATGGACCTGCCAGGAGTCCACTAAGCGCGTCCTTATTGTTAAGGTAGGACAAGTATTTATATCGGAAAACTGATGTGGAGCTTGATCTTTAGGGGACAGGACCACCAACCAATACATGCAGATTTTTTGTGTGTGTGGACAGAAGGTACTTTTGACATTCAGTTTTGCTATATAGAAACAGAATGAGTAAATGAACTTTTTTTTTTTTTTTGCAAGAGGTAAGTAAAAGATTCAATTTGATTCTTCTAGGGGGGGGGGAAAGGAGTTGAAAGTAGGTCTTCATTTTGCAGTCATCATCTGTACGAATTCTGAAAAGACAAATAATCATAACTTTCAGTTACCTTCAAAAGCAGCTTTAATGGACGTAACATCTCTAGTCTGCATAAGGGGAAAAACCCCTAGCTGCAGTAGTTACCTTGCTCACAGACCCTAAAGGGAGGACCGTTACAGAGCAAGCTGAGGAGGCGGCATTTTACCTTCGTAGTTGACCTGCCCGTCTCCATCGATGTCTGCCTCTCTGATCATCTCGTCCACTTCCTCGTCGGTCAGCTTCTCCCCCAGGTTTGTCATGACGTGGCGCAGCTCTGCGGCGCTGATGTACCCATTGCCATCCTGCGGACACACCGCGCGGTCAGGGCAGGACTCGGCGCCGTGTGCCCAGCCGGGCTCTGAGGGGCGCTGCCCCCGTGAGCTCCTGACGGCTCGAGAGCCCCCCCCCACTGAACACATGCAGGCAGGAGAAGCCGCAGGGGCTTTTACAAAGCAAAGGCAACGGCAAGTCACAGTCCAGAAACCTAGGTCAAAATTTCTCTATTTATTATGCTTACTCTCTATGATAAGGTTACTGCAATAAGTCAAATATTTGAAAATGAGATTACAGACGGTGAGGCAGGTAGGTAAAGTGTTCTAACTAGAAAAGCACGTGAAAACTTCTAGAAATGAGGGGAAAGTCGTATTTCACTACAGTCAGCAATGCAGACACAGGTTACCTTGTCAAAGACTCGGAACGCCTCGCGGATTTCCTCTTCACTGTCGGTGTCTTTCATTTTTCTAGCCATCATAGTCAAAAATTCTGGGAAGTCAATGGTGCCATTACCTCAAATTAAAAAACAAAACCTTGTGTAAGATAAATGCTCCAGTTAAGTTAACGCTACTCAAGAGAGAGAATTTTAGAATCACTTTATAGAACAGTAAACATCTGGTAAGACAAACTGATGAATTGCTTTATCAGGTTGAATTACCTTAGGTCTAAACTATTCAAAACTTCCCAGGGCAATTTCACATGATTCATGTAATTCAAACTAGTAATCAATGACCAGGATAGCATTTAATGATGCAAAGGAAACTGCACACACAGCTTCTTGGCCACTGAAAGGTTTATACAGTTTAACGGGGGGTGGGGGTGGGAAGGCCACTGCAGTGCTGGCTGAAATCTTTCCACTCCCAAGGGAGGCACCTGAGACCGCCTTCCCCCAAGTCAGGGAGATCCCTCGGATCAAAGTCTGCCTACACTAGTGATGCTGGTGAAGGCCCATCACTGAGCCACCAAGGTTTGTAAGGAAGAACGCGAGTGGGAAAGACGTGAGTGGGGAAAGGTGACTCTCATGCCAGGGGCCATGAGTGCAGGAGAGTCTTCTCCAGGAGGCGCTTCTCAGACGCTTTATGGGAAGTCACCTAACTGTTTTCTCCCAACTCGGTATCTTTATTTCCTACTAAGGGCATGGGCTCGAAAGCGTTTCCTCAGCTCAGATCATTAACAATCAGGGAACTGTCAGCAGAATCGGTTCTGTGGCCAGTATTCCAAACTCCTCCTTTAAAACCAACAGATGAATACGCCAGAGACGAGGCACCAGATCAACAGTGTAACTTGAACTAAACAAATAAAAATTAAATTAGAAGGAAAAAAAGCCTTATGAGAAGCTACTCTTTTTCACCAGTACCTTTACAACAAAGTAATAATTCACAGATTCCTTCAAAGCGTTTTGGCCTCCAAATATTTAAAGCATTATTGATGTTCATGGCAAAAATCAGTTGTCTGAAATGATCTCTTATAGCCCTATAGCGATGTCCTTCAGCATTTCAACATATTCATTCACTGCAAATGTTAGATTCTATGGCTTGAGAAAACTTCCCCTCCTTGTTGCATACAATCGGAGGGCCTAATACATTTTGCCAGTCCCCAGTTTCCTGGGCTAGACTATAAGACAGCCACCCTATGTTCCCAGAAGGCTGATCACCTTAGCAGTCAAATGAGACAGAACTATGAATAAACCTCTTTCTCCAAATTATTAACGATGAAAACAGTCTTTAGAAGTAGCTCAAATGGACTTACACCACTGTTAAAGAGCTGACTCCAAACCCCTGCTTCTAAATATATGTGACCAGCAGTGTTAACTGTTTTATCACATTATACCATACTTCTTCTTTATTATACCGTATTTTTAAATGGCTACTATCAAGCTGATCAAGAAAGTCTAGATCCAAACTGTTCATTCCTATTTCATGTTTTCAAAATTTACTAATGTTCTACAATGTTATGTTTATAGTTAATTAATTTACTTAAATGTATTATATAAATCAAATCTACTAATTTAATACTATTTCCAAAGCACATGGCTCTTTGGGGGGAGAGGGTAGTGATTAAAAACTACTTACTGACAGAAGCAAGCAGTAAAAAGGTCTCCTGTCCACTGCTCTGGAATCCAGAGAACAAATGACCAAACAGCCATTTGCTTCTGGCTCCACGTCCTCCTAGTAGCTTCTATAAATCTAGTTCCTTTGGTCATCATGCACCTCACCCCCAAGCCTCACGTGATCCCTGAAATTCTCCTCAATAAACACATCGACAGCTCACACTGTACTCACTTTTATACATTAACATCTAAGAAGGTTCTTCCCCCACTTCACTTGGGGTGTCTCCTGAGATGACCAAGCTTTTTAAAAGGTCTGTGGCTATTCATTTTTACTTTCCCCACAGTACTCAGTGCAGACTCATGGGCCAGTCGATAAAAGACTGAGCTACAGGTCATGGCAAGCAAAAAAGAACAATACTGTGATCTGATCCAGGAAATGTTCTGGACAGCAAGCAGGGCTAGAGGCAGGCCTGAAATCTTCTATTTTAATTGTCAACAGCTGTAAGGAAACCACAGAAAGGATCTTTGCACACTTGCCTTGCTCTTGACACCTGAAAGACAACCTGTTAACGTGTCTGAACTTGAATTACACAACACTGCATTCCTTCACAGTTCCAAAGCCCTTACCATCAGCGTCCACCTCGTTGATCATGTCCTGCAATTCGGCTTCTGTTGGGTTCTGACCCAACGACCTCATGACGGTTCCAAGTTCCTTGGTTGTGATAGTGCCATCACCATCTTTGTCAAATAGGGAAAAAGCTTCCTTGAATTCTGAAAACACAAGTTTACCTTTTAGAATGAATGTCTTCACCCAACCCAGTCACAGCACGCCCATCCCCTGAACTTGCCAAAGCAAGCCAAGTTGTGCAAGTTAGCAGAAACCGCCTGCTCTTTATCTGTTGAAACAAAGACCACAGCAGTCACGCTGGACGCGCCCTCACACAGAACACACATCACTCCAGGCAACCAGTTCCATAAAACAAAATTCCCACATTTTTAAAGGCTAAGCTTCAACAGTTTAGTACTAGGTCCCATCTGACAAGGGAAGGTGGGTCCGCATGCTCCCTGAAGGTCCCTTCCTGTGATATAGCTCCACAGCCGTAAGAACGCCTTGTTTCACAGCAGCAGGAGAGGCAGGTACCAGAAATGGACAATCCCTGGCAACCAGTGTGTTCTCTCTGCACGGCATTCAGAGTATGTCAAAGGCAATCCTGGTTTCCTGAAGAGAAACCATGTCAAAAACCCCTCCAGGGACTTCCCTGGCAGTCCAGTGGTTAAGACTCTGCACTCCCAATGCAGGGGGCACAAGTTCGATCCCTGGTTGGGGAACCAAGATCTGGCATGCCACATACCGAGGTCAAAAAAACCCAAAAAAGTCCTCCAGGGAACATTAAAAGCTAAAATCTACACTAACTTCATTCCCTTCCTGATGACTACGGTGGTCTTCACTATCCTCCTCACCCATTCCCATTTAGAATAGCAAGCACAAGCTTTCATAGTGCGTCACAAAGAGGCGTAAGAATTCTAAACTACATTTCTGAATAGCAGGCTCCATGCAATCTCATTCTATACAAAGCCTAGCACACCTTGAAGTACCCCAGAGTGTAACAAGTGGGTATCCTTAGTTCCACTTACTTTTGCATTATCTGACAATCTTTACAAAGGCTGACAAGGAGTAACATTTAACCTAAATGTCTCTGCTTGTTGTGGCGGTTAAGTAAAGTCCTTAGAAAACTGCTTGGACTAAGGGGAGAGGGAAGAGTCGCCAGAACTGAGTCCGCCAAGACCCCTGTGGCCACCCACTTACCGGCAATCTGCTCTTCCGTCAGCTGGTCAGCCTGCAGAGAAAGAGAAGAGGTTATAATTCAACCCAGGGGAGACTGGAGTCAGCATAGCTTTTCCAATTAAGTCTTTTAACAGTCGGCTGTGAAAATTTCAGCCCTGTCATTTAAGAGAAACAATTAGAATGCAGGGAACCCTTTATGCTGTTTTAAAAACAAAGGATGACAAGTTACAGACAAGGTCTCACTTCAGGTTTTCTTCTCTGGGCCTACCGGCTCTCTGCTCTGCGGTGGGTCGAACGAGGAGAGTCAGTTCATCATTTGAGAAATGGCACCTCTAGCGGCAACAGGCCCACTGCAGCAGCCGCAGGGCCCGGCTCTGGGAAGAAGAGCGCCACCTACTGCACGGAGACGCCGCGATCCCCGCGGCCATCCACGGAGGGGCCCAGCCTGCCGCGGCTGGCCCTGCAGCCAGGACCCGGGCCAGGTCAGGCTTTCAGTGCACCTTGCGCACCGCTGCGGGCACTCCAAATCTCCAAACTGGCGTTACATAATGGCATTGGCTTGGATTAACAGGCTTTCATATCTATTTTATGAGATACAATTAAGAGGAAAAATATATATACAGCAATGGGTTATCCTACCAACTTCATTTCCATGCTTTCCAATCACTTAAATTAGGCAGTTATTTGCCTACCATTTAGAACAACTAAATGTCCTTCGTCAAATTATCCTATGATTCAAAAGTCGGGGGGGGAGGGAATAATGGAACGGTCCTACAATTGAGCTGTTACAAAACTGCAAAAATGAAGTACACAGAAACTACATAATAATTATGAGTTTGTACCCTCTTTTTTTGAGAGGAACTATTAACTTTATTAGAGGATATTCACTCTACCCATTTTAAGAGTGATCTAAGAGCTGCTCCTAATAAACACACTTTACTAGAGATGGTAATGGCCACGAAGGTAATTCTCACTTGCATTATTTGGTCTCTGCAACTCTGATCTTGTGCCTCCAGCCATGGGAATTCGGGATCTCAAGGACAGATAACATGTATTTTTATTTTAATGAAGGATGTCTTAACGAAGCCAGTTCCAAAACAAGTCCAAGTAGAAAGCTGATGGTAGTTTATCCGAACTCTCAAATGAAAACTTTCACAATAAGAATGATGTTCCAACATACTGACTTAAGGAGGAAACGTTTTTTTTTTCAAATTAGAACTGTCTCCTCTCCTCCCTACCCCAGACATGGCACGCCGGTTTTCTTATACCAAAGAAAGGAGACACGAGGATTTATGTAATGCCAGGACTACGTCTCTGCCTCGTACAACAGGAAGCGCTGCCGGCCACACCTCGCAAGAAGCTGTCACCTCGCCGGGGCAAGTGTCCTCTGAAAGTGGAGATCGAGGCTGTCGGCCTGTCTCGACACAGAAGGACACGCTCACCGCCACAACGCGTCGGCCTCGGGGCAGAGGTGCGCGGGTCCCACCGAGAACCGCCTCCCCGCCCCGCCGAGCCAGAAAGACGGGGGGTGATGTCAGCCCTGCCGGCTGGGGGATGGCACACCCGGAGAGGCGCACGGGCGCATCTGGCCGCCCGGGAGCCGCAGAGGCGGCGGAAACGGGGAGGGCATCTCCCCTCGGACGGGAGGGACCGCGGGCCGGATTAAAGTGCCGGGCGAGGTGGCCCCGGGAGCAGGGTGCGGGGCGCGTCTCCTTCCAGGCCAGGGAGACCCCCCCACACCCGCCGCGGGCGGGGCCCGAGCTCGCCCCGCGCCACCCACCCGCTTCTGCCCTGCGCGCCGCCACCTCCCCCGGAGCACAAACTTCGCGTCTCCACTGGAGACCGCGGCGCGCGCCAGCGCTCCTCCCCGCCCCCCGCCCCAGTTAGCGCGGCCGAGCGCCTCCCGCGGGGGGGCCGCCCGGTGCCCCGCTCGCCTCCACCACCGCGCGGGGCGGGTCTGCAGGGGCGCCAGCCGCCGCGACGCGGAGCCCCGGGCCGCCGCGGGGCCCCGCCCGGGCAGAGGTGCCGGCCCGCCGCTTCCGCCCCCGCCGCCCCCCGCCCCGCGCCTTCCTGCCCCCACCCCACCCTCCCCGGCTCCTTCCTTCCCGACCCACGCCCGCGCCGCGCCCCCCGGGAGGGAGGCGGGAGGAGCGCCCCGAGGGGACGGCGGCGGTCCCGCGCCCCGGCCGCGGCAACGTGCGCCACCGGCTCGCTCCGGCCCATTCATTCTCGCCGCCCGCGAGCCGGAGTCGGGCCGCGGCCCCGCCCGGCCCCCAACCCCTAGGGCGGCCCGGGGGCGGACGGCGGAGCGGGCGGGTACGGGGGCCCCGGCGCGGCCAGAACCCCCGCCGGGGGCCGGGCGCGGCCAACCCCGGCCCCACGACGGGGCGAAACGTAAACGGTGCTGCCCGGTCGAGGAAACCGGGATGCAAACCCAGAGCGCGTCCTGAGCCGCAGCGGCTGCGCAACACCCGGAAGCCAGGAAAAGCCACCCCGCGAGGGAAAGACGGGAAAAGAGACAGGATCGGGAGAGCTCGGGCAGGCGGCCGCGGCGCCGACACTCGCCGCGCCCCACCTACCATGGTGCGAGCGAGGCAGGGAGGCCGAGAGAGCGAGGGTGGCCGCGCCGGGGCCGGGACCGCAGGGCGCCTCCGCTACAGTTGCTGCCGGGGCGCCGTGTGCGTTGAGCGCTGTGCCGTCGCCGACCGCCGCCACCAACTGCACTAACGGCTCCGCGCCCGCCAGGCTACCAGCAACTCCGCCGCGCCGCGAGCCTGCGCCCCGCGGTATATATAGGGCCCCGCGTATCCCTCCGCCGCCGCGCCGCCGCCTCTCCCTGCGCCGCGCCGCGAGGGCTAGGCCTTGCTGCCTGGCCCCGCCTCCGGGCCCGCCCCCAGCCCTGGCCCCGCCCCCGGCGCGCCCGGCCTCCCGCCGACCCTACGCGCGCGCGCGCGCGGCCGGCGGCGGGGCTGGGACCCCCGGCGCGGAGAGGCGGGGAGGGGTGCGGGGCGCGTGCCCCGGAGTCCCCGCAGGGCCAGGACGGAGACAGAGCGGCTGCGTAGCCGACGGGGGGTGGCTCCGGTTTCAGAAGCCCCCGGCCCTCGCCCCAGGCGTACCCCGCCGGCGAGACCCCCTCCTCCCCTTCCTACCCCCACCATCCGCCCCTCGCATCTCGCGCCCCGGGGCAGCGGGCTGGCCCTGGCCTCGCGGTCTCCCGCTGGCCCCCGCCGCTGGGGAGATGTGGGCAGTTCTAGGGTGGGGGCGGCCGCACCTTCGGCAACCGAGGACAGGGGTCTGGAGGGAGCAAGCGTCCTCGCGCAAGAAACTGCTTAGACGTTTGCTTTTCAAGTAATGTCGAAGACAAATGAACATATATGCTCGGTTGCTAAATCCGTGTCATGCTCATATGTTTAGCCAGTTTTACCTTAATGTTTTTACGTTTCCACTGAATTTTTTTTTTGTATGCTTGAATAATCTCCCTCTCCTACTGTATTTTTTTCCCTTATGGAAAACACTGCTCATCCTGACCCTAGTCTTACTGAAATCAGTGTACTTGTACATCTTCTGTAGACTTTCAAACCCCATGCTCTGATTTGTGTGTGTGTGTGTTAGTTACCTGGTCCTAAGAGATCAGATCTTTATTCGTAGATCCACAGAAACAAAGAAGGAAAAAAATAGATACATAGAATTCCCTAGATTAGAGTTGGAACACACAGTTTAATTGACTCTACTATGGAGCTCGACCATTTTTAAATGCACAATTATATTTCCTTTCAAGTAGTATTTTAATCTAAGATATACTCATATTTTCAATTTTCTGTATACCAGAAAAAGGACCATATCAGTTATAAATGTAAACTCCAGAACTTTGTAAAAATCTTGACAAAATGCTGCAGTTTCTTTTCTTGCCAAGGCAGAGCACAGAATCTGATCTTTTGTTTACAGGGCCTGGGCAACAGTTGAAAGTTATTATTTGCATACTCTTTCAGAGAATGTGGCAAAGTGTGTGACTGACAACCTCTGCTAGAAAAGGCTTTGCTTGGTTATGCTTGTTTCTGACTTTGACACAGCCTGCAGAAAAGATGTTTTAAAACAATGGAAAATGTTTGGGCACATTGTAGGTGCCCAGGACTTGTGTGATAGCTTCAGACAAATATCTGTGGAACGGTTCTTACTGATATGCCTTCTGGAATGTGGTAGAAAGGGGGAACCAGCTGTGCAATTTAAAGGGAGGCTGCCACAGAGAGCCAGGGAATGGTGCTGCCTTCCCTCTGCAAATGAGAAAGACATCATCTACTGAACGTGATTATCACCATCATCCTGTCTTCCTGGGCGGAAACTTGAGTGGGAATAAACTATGTAAATAGGAGAGTTGGAAATAGGGGAAAAGGGACGAATACAAAGTCAATTAAAAGAATATTCAGTAATACAGTGAGTTACAGTCTAAATGGCCAAATATGCTAAGGGAATTGGTATTCTTTTGCCATGCTTTTCATACAGTAGTTAGTTAAATACATTTTAAAACTTGGTATACATTGTATAAGAAGAAGGAAAAATGGCCTAGAGATGAAATGTGTTTAATTCTTAAAGGTTTATTAGGTTCTGATAGTCTTCTGCTCCTTATAATCAAGTTGCTAGAATCTATGGTTTTGAAAACCAGGCAATTTCTAAAATAATGTTTCTTCTTCCATCATTTAACCTATTTCACCCAAATAAAACACTTTGAAACTTTATCATGACTTTATTTGCTAAAGACTGTATTTCAAAGTCATCTTATTATAGTAAAATTCATTATTGTGATTCTTTACATTTTACCAGCTAGAGTTCTCTTTTGATAATTCTTTATTAAAGTACAGCTTTCAAGTCTATTGAATTTGTAATGAGGTCATGCTTTACTCAGTTTTATGGCAGTTTGACACATTGAAATATAAGAAGGTCAAGTGACTTGCCCAAGATCTTGCCATGAATCAGAGATGGAGCATAAAATAGAGTGTGAGCCCTTGTTCAGGGACTCTAAGATTAGATTATGTATTGATGAAACTAATATCTGAAAATTGAAAATGTACCATGTGAAGATTTATGTATTTCCTGAAGCAGGTTCTTCTGACCACCTGGATGATCGCTGGGTTTTCATTAAAGATTTAAGTGAATAAACTTTCTAATTTATGAAAAGGCCAGCAATCAAGAAATCCCTTGGATTGCAAGGAGATCCAACCACTCCATCCTAAAGGAAATCAGTCCTGAATATTCATTGGAAGGACTGATGTTGAAGCTGAAACTCCAATACTTTGGCCACCTGATTCGAAGAGCTGACTCATCTGAAAAGACCCTGATGCTGGGAAAGATAGAGGGCAGGAGGAGAAGGGGACGACAGAGGATGAGATGGTTGGATGGCATCACCAACTCAATGGACATGAGTTTGAGTAAACTCCGGGGGTTGGGGATGGACAGGGAAGCCTGGCGTGCTGCAGTCCACGGGGTCGCAAAGAGTCGGACACGACTGAACGACTGAACTAAACTGAACTGAAGCCACATTGTTGTGAAGTCATTGGCAGGTGGATTCTTTACCATTAAGCCACCTTGGCTACAGTCCATGGGGTCTCAAAGAGTTGGCATGACTGAGCACAGCACTGCATTGTGAAGTCATAATTTACTGAGAGTCAAAAGACTATGGAATATTTCATGATATTGAGAGAAAATGACTATTTAAATAAGTGAAAAGTGAAAGTGTTACTTGCTCAGTCGTGTCCCTTCTTCGTGACCCCACAGACTGCAGCCCGCCAGGCTCCTCTGTCCACAGGATTCTCCAGGCAAGAATACTGGAGTGGATTGCCATTCCCTTCTCCAGGGCATCTTCCCGGCCCAGGGACTGAACCCGGGTCTCCTGCATTACAGGCAGATTCTTTACTGTCTGAGCCACTGGGGAATAAAGTAATGTTAAATTGAAGAAAAATAGAAAGAATGCAACCCCAAGTCAGGAGTCTCAAATTTTAATATCATTTTTGTCACTAACCTGATCACCCATTTGAGTCTAACAGAAAAAATACAAATGTAATCAATGTACATATTCAGGGGTAAGACAGGTTTGGATTTAATCTAGAAATTCCTTCCAACTTAAACCCTGTCCCTGAGATTATAATATATATGATTGTAATATACATGTATAATATGTGTTATCATATATGTCATATGTATGTGTACACACAAACATACTGAAGGTGAAGAAGGCAAATGGAGAAATGGAAATAGCTTAAAGATTAACATTTGATGGGACTTCCCTGGCAGTCCAGTAGTTGAGACTCTAGGCTTTTAATGCAGGGGGCATAGGTTTGATCCCTGGTTGGGGAACTAAGATCTCATATGCCCTGTGGCACAGCCAAAAATTAAAACAAAAACAAACAAAAAAAACATTTGCTGAGCATTTGGCCACCTGATGCAAGGAACTGACTTATTGGAAAAGACCCTGATGCTGGGAAAGATCAAAGGCAGGAGAAGGGGACGGCAGAGGATGAGATGGTTGGATGACATCACTGACTCAATGGACATGAGTTTGAGTAAGCTCCGGGAGTTGGTGATGGACAGGGAGGCCTGGCGTGCTGCAGTCCATGGGGTTGCAAAGAGCTAAGCAACTGAACTGAACTGAGCATTGGCTATGGCCAGGCCCTGTGCTGACTGCATCATTCCATCCTCCTGCCCATGCTGTGAGGCCAGCGTCATTATCTTTATGTAGAAACTGAGGCACTGAGAGACTCAGCGATTTGCTTAATTTAAGTGTTGAAACAAAAAAAATCTATTTCAGAGGACCAAGCATGTAAGCACTACACTATATCTCTTGTAATTTAAAAGAATTAATTTTTAATTTTTTTGGAAGAAAATAAGATTAAAATTTGGTTTTTTAAGAAGTACTTCTTACCCAAGGATTTAAAAGTAAAGTAAGATCATAGGAATGTAGCAATAGCTGTGCCTACCACAGCAGGAGCAGAGCATATAGGAAAAAGCAAAACATTCACCTTATGATGCTTCCTGGCCAGAGGACACTTTTGATTTTGCAAATGAGATCTAAACAGGTGAGGAGACTTGCTCACCATCAAACATGTAGTTGACGACTCTATGCTTTCATTGAAAGAGATAACCGAGAACTCTCTAATCCCAGTTCTATTCCATGATGCATCTCTCGGAGTTGGTATTTTATTTTTGTAAATGTTTTTATTTATTATTTATGGCGGTGCTGGGTCTTTGCTGCTGCTCCGGCTTCTCTCGAGTTGCAGCGGGCGGGGGCCTCTCTCCAGCTTGACGCACAGGCTTCTCTCGCTGGGGAGCGTGGACTTTAGGGCGTTCGGACTTGAGCAGCTGGGACACCTGGGCTCAGCAGTTGTGGCTACCGGGCTCCAGAGCACAGGCTCAGCAGTCCTCCGCGGCACGTGGGATCTTCCCGGATCAGCGACTGAACCCCTGCCCCCTGCATTGGGAGCCAGATATTTTACCACTGAGCCACCAGGGAAGCTGAGAAGTTGGTATTTTAAACTAAATAGAGAGAAATGGGTAGATGGATAGGCAGGTAGGTAGATAGACAGATCTTGTAGCCTTCATGGGGCTTACATTGTTCTGAGAAAATGACTGTATGCGTGTGGGGGCAGTGGGGTTGGGGGAGAGAGGTGGATGCTTGGCTTGATGGTTTTTATGAAGTAACAAGTCTAAATTCATTCACTATAACCGTAGGCTGTTGTGTCTTCATAGATGGATTATCTAGTTAGAGAATTTTCTTTAAGAAATTTGCAGTCCCAAACTGGAGCTATCTCACAGGAAAGAAATCTTGTCTTCGACCTCTCCGCCATCCACAGCCGCCTCTTTCTCTGTCCCATGGTACAATATAATTTGATGATGATCCACCATTTGGGATTTTCTTCCTCACTAATCATCTCCAATAGCCAGAACAAGCTCCTGCTGTTTGTGTATGGATTTACATTTCATTAAATGTTATACAGGATTATTATATAAGCTTTACTATCTCTATCAATAACAAAATACCTCATTATTTTTCCACTTAAAATTTTGCTATTACAATATCTTTTTTTTTGCTATTATCCTTTATGAATGGCTCAGGTAAAGAAGTCAGGGATAATTCTAACATTACATTTAAATTTGAAATGCGTTACCATCATAAGGAAATAAGTGAGTTTTAAGCCATGACTTATTACCATGAGAAAAACATTATCAATTTTAGCATGTCTATTGTTGCATGCATGCATGCTTAGTCACTCAGTTGTGTCCAACTCTTTGCAACCCCATGGACTGTAGCCCACCAGGCTCCTCTGTCTATGGGACTTTTTCTCAGGCAAGAATGCTGGAGTGGGCTGCCATTCCCTTCTCCAGGGGGTCTTCCTGACCCAGGGATCTAACCTGTGTCTAGTGCATTACAGGCAGATTCTTTACCTGCTGGGCCATCAGGGAAGCCCTGTGTCTATTCAGAGTCCCAGAATTTTAAGTGAATCGTAACCAGACCACCGCACACCCTACTAGCGTTTCAGCTTGCAGCAGTCCTCAGCATGTTAGCGATCTAAAGAGAAACAGCACCGTGCCCCGTGAGTGTGTGCCCCACTCTTGTTAGCTCTAAGTCACTCTGCACAGTGGAGGACCAGGCTTGCCCAACATTCGCAGCGCTTGTGCTTGTTTTGCTCGTAGCTGAGCTGATGGATCTGCATTATTCCCGCCACCCGGTCCACCCTTGGGACCAAGGTCATGCATATGCAACACGGCCAGCTGAGGTCAGGGATAGAGAACAGAGCAAAATAACCGACAAGGAATGAGACTGGACCCCTGACTCGGGCCTCATTAGCTCTGTGCTTGCTTCAGTCGTGTCCGACTCTTTGCGACCCCATGGACTGTGGCCCACCACCTGTAGCTCCCCCGTCCCTGGGATTCTTTAAGCGAGAACACTGGAGTGGGTTGCCATGTCCTCCTCCAGGAGACCTGTGCTTTAATGGACTGAGATCTCAAGTCACAGGCAGCCAATACTTATACAGACTTAGGGACCAAGTATGTGTATTCAAATTCCAAAATGCCCAGTGGGAGAAGATCATAGTTTTTTTTGCCTTAGTTGTTTACACTAAACTCAAACTGTTTTTTTAAAAAAAATTGCTCTGACCAATCGAGCACAGTATTGTCTAAGCCATATTAATTTTGGAAATTTCCTGAGTCACCATTCTCCCCATTAATCCAAAAATCAAGTGCCAAAGTTACTTCAATCAACGTCTGAACAGTAAGCAACGATGTCTCATTTCTACCGTGTGTGCTAGAGTTGGGGACACACCAGAGAGCATGTTTAAGACATTCAGGCAACAATAGGCATGTAGCAGTTCACAGATGATTTAACAACTAGGTCAGCGGAGGGCTCTGTGGCCACAGTGGTAAGCTGGATGGTAGGTTTTGGGGTGACTCAGTTTGCCTGAAGGGCAGAGCCAGTGGTCAGCACAAATTGGTACTTTCATTGAGGTCCTGATATGCAGAAAACTGGACCACACTGATAAATCAGAGAAACTGATGCTGATGGTGGATTATACCAAAGAATGGGCCTCACAATGCCAACAGAACTAAGATCTACTCTGGTGACTGTGTGGTTTGGTTTTGACTCATAACAAATAACTTTGTCCTGCCTCTGGAGCTGTGGTGTCCACTAGCCATGAGCGACGTGTGGCTATCGAAATCAAAATGAATTACACTTTAAGTGTAGTTCCTTTGTTTCACTAGCCACCGTCAAGCACTCAGTAGGCTCACACAGTTAGCAGGGTTACCTAGCGGTTACCTAGTTGAACAGTGTAGACCATTTCCATCATCACGGAAGTCTTATTGGGCTGCACCAAGCTATACTGAGAACCCCATTCTAGAACTTTAAGAAAGAAAAAAGGAAGGAACATCCATGTTTACCTGGATCAAGAATCCTGCTGCTGCTGCTGCTAAGTCACTTCAGTTGTGTCCGACTCTGTGTGACCCCATAGATGGCAGCCCACCAGGCTCCACCATCCCTGGGATTCTCCAGGCAAGAACACTGGAGTGGGTTGCCATTTCCTTCTCCATCAAGAATCCTGAGGGTCCCCCAAATTTTTAGTCTCATATATGTTATTCTTTGTTCATCCCTGACAACTCTGTTCCCTTCTGATCCATCCAGCACACAGTCACCAGCGTAGTTTCATCCAGTATCTTCTCTGCTCAGAACTTTTCAGAGGCTCTCCAGTGCCTGCAGGAGATAAAATGTCAAGTCCTTGTGTCTAGCATTCAAAGCCATTCAACACATTGTTCATTAACTTTTTCAGCATTCCTTTCATTATCCTACAAACATGGATTTTCTGCTTCAAATTGGCTTCCTCTCTGACCCCTGAGTGCACATTGTGTCCTCCCAACTCACTGCCTTTTCCATGCCACTCCCAGTGTCCAGATACCTGTCCAGATCCATGAGTGTGCGCACCCGCATGTGCGCGTGCTCAGTCATGTCTGACTCTTTGCAACACTATGAACTGCAGCCCAGCAGCCTCCTCAGTCCATGGGATTTTCCAGGCAAGAATACTGGAGTAGGTTGCCATTTCCTTCTCCATGGGATC